TTAAAATTCCTGCTCTAATTATTTTATGACAGAGGTTCTCAAAACTTAAAATACATCAGATCACCTTAAAGTCTTATTCAGACACAGATTGATAGGTACCATCTTAGAAATGGGAGGAACAAACATGGTATAACATCAGCATATGTAAACTAAGCTTATCATCTCAGCCATAAAGCAAATTGATTAATCACTTAATCACTTAACTTCCCGTTAGTCGTCGATTTGCTCGAGCGGGCGCCAGTAACGTCTCCATTTGTCCCCGTCGCGTGCTAGTGTAGCCCAATGGCATCTCTTCGCTCCGGGAACATGAAGGGCCTCAAACCGATCGTTCATGATCTTGACGAAGAAGTCTGACCATCTGGTAGGTGGGCGGCCACGCGGTCTCTTGACATCCCGTGGAATCCAATCAGTAACAGCTCTAGTCCAACGGTCATCTTTAAATCTCATTACGTGACCAGCCCATCTGATTTTCGACACCTTGGCAAATGAGACAGCGTCCCTGATCCTTGATCGTCGACGGATGTCAGAACTCCGGATTCGTTCTCTCATTTGAGTGAAACGTGATATTCCAAGCATAGCTCTTTCTATTCTTCTTTGGGAGACCTGAATGGTGTTCTCATCTTGTTTGTGTAGGGCCCCGGTCTCTGAGGCATATGTTAGTGCAGGAAGAACAGTGGAATCAAAGAGATGTGCCCGGAGCCGGAGGTTCTTCGTCCTCTTAGCTATTTCTTCGACGTTCTTGAAGGCGTTCCAAGCCGCTCTCTTCCTCCTGCGCAGCTCGGGTGCCAGGTCATTTGTCATGTTGACCTCTCAACCTAGGTACACATAGCTGTTGCATTCGGAGATGGTCGTTCCATTGAGAGCGAATGGGGCGTCAGGAACAAGGCTGTTTCTCATAAACATTGTCTTCGTAAGATTCAGCTGTAGTCCTACCTTTCCACACTCACGGTCAAAGTCGGCCAGCATTTGTGCCGCTTGGCTGAAAATGTGTAAATAGAAGAAAAAGCCCAAAGGCAAAATTCTGAGAGAAAATACTCAAGAGATCAACTAAGTCATGAGTCTATGACATTAGCATACATAGATTTTGCCCCTCTTTAACAAATTAGGAATCCAAAAAGGTATTTTTAAATATATATATGTTCATACATGCATGTTTATATATATATATATACTGTCATTCCATGAAAATTTATTAGGAGATTCTGAAAATGTGAGATTATAAGGTGATTATCTCCCCTCACAAGCCTACAAGCCTCTCCTAACACACACACACACACACACACACACACACACACACACACACTTGCACTCTTCTGGAAACTGGACTTCCAGCATTCATGAGTATTTAGTATACTCTGCCCTTTCCTTAGAAAAGATAAAAATATTCCCACAGGCAGCAAGGATAGGACTAAATATAGGTGATAATTTTTGAATGGCAAAATAAACATTTTAAAATTTTGACTCAGACAGCTGTGAACTTCACTCAGATAGCAGGTAATGCATACAGAACACCCACTAGTTTTTCACTGAACTTCTTGGTGTGCCTTTCACTGCATGAGGCAGTCACCAAACCATCAATGAGCATAAACCTGCAGCAACAAAACTGACAGCAGAGGGAGCCAGTGGAGGAACTTGAAATACCTGTATCTTAGTGCAGTGCCACTAGATTTACTGTTCTTCAGCAGTTCTTGAAGGTTACCATGATTATGCACAAATTTACCATTCTACTGATTATTAAAGTTAGTAATTATACACTGACAATGCAATTTTTAATCTCATTTAAATTTTAGTATGTAACTGATTTTGGAATTGTACTAAAAGTTTATGTTTATTACTAATGATAAATCCTTATTACTAATAAGTACACCAGTATTGAGAGCATAATATGAACACACCGGTGTGCCACATTCTTTAATAACATGAAATCTAATCTTCACAGTAGTCATAACAGACAGGTATTATTATTTCTGTTTTGAAGATGAGGTCAATGAGGCTCAAAGTCTTATTTGCTTAAATCCACACAGCAAAAAGTAATGAAGACAGGTCTATCTGACACAAAAGCCATTTCCTTTCTATTTTATGTCCTTGGCTCAGTGGACTTGCTTTTATGTTCAGTATTTCATTCCTTAAAGTCACTGAGTCGGTAATTATATTAATGTGTTTGTTTCTTTTAGTCTAGTGATAAAGTGAGTAATTGAATTCAACTTTGTCTAGACAAAGTAAAAGTGGCATTTATCACAGAAAATTTAGCTAGAGGAAAATATTTAAGCTTCATAAAGATTGAGCCCCATAAGCTGATTTATTTCTATAGAAAAAGCAAATGATTGGGATGAATATAACAAAAAAACTCTGTTAACAATAGTAATGCCAAAATTCACTCTTTGTAACTTTCTTAATAACCCTCTAGCTTATTAAATACTCCCTTCTCCAAGGACCTTTTATTCAGCAGATATTCTGAGGACTGTCCTCTGGCAGTGAGCCCCCTAGTCTCTTGGGAACTAATATTGCTGTAGAATCCCCTAGGAGACAAAGAGTGAGGGGTGGTCTCTCCTTTAAGAGGTCTCTCCTCCACGAGGATAGTTGCAAGGCAGAATTGCCTCTAAAACTGAACTGAAAACCTTTGAGGGGGGCACACCTGGCTGTGCTTAGGGCATATTCCTGGTCCTGAGGAATTACTTCTAGAAGGAGTCGGGGGATGTGTGGTGCTTGGGATCAAACCCACATGCAAGGCAAGCACCCTGCTCACTGTACTATCTCTCTGACCTCAGCCAAAACCCTTCATGTTCAGAATCATGAAGAATGTGAGTAATTTAAATCCTAACTAGCTATTCTATTGATAGCAGAACTTCTTCAGGAAAATATTACTTTGAAAAGAACCTTACTGTCTATGTTTTAGCATCAGAGGAAGCATATATCTCGTGCTTAGCATGCACCCAGCACTACCTGGTTCATTGTGCATCTCCAGTCACAACCCTAGGAGCCCCAAACAGAGCGACCCATTCTCCAGAACCATAGGGCCAGAGCAGTACCACTTTTTGAGGTCCTCCCAACAAATTACCAGCCTGGTTGCCTGAAAATTGCTGGGCCTGGTCAAGTCAGTCCCCTGGGTCTCCTGAGGACCACATGGATGATCTTCCTCACCCCCTCCTATCTTTCTTTTTAATTTAAAAAAGTGAAATAAAGATATTGTTTATTGTTATTAACACCTGGGTGCCATTTAATTACATTCGCTGAGGAGTGTGCAGTCAATGTAATACATGTTGATGAACAACAACAATAATTCTTAATTGTACTACTTGTTTAAAATTGTGGTCTTGATCGTGAATTCTCAAGTATATTTAGAAACCTGACTTCTATTATACTGAGTCATGACTCCATTTGGGATTACATAACTAAATATAAGAGTCACAAAAAATTTGGCAACAGTGGAAGGTTTCTAAATGCACAACCAAAAATTAATTCAAAATCAAGTGTTTGATGAATCCAGCGTATTTCTGGAAGCACTCATCCAGGTTGTATTTCTTGGGCAAAAGGTGTCATTAGTAGAAAAAGTTTAGAAGCTCTATTTTAGAAGATACTCTCAAAGCTAGTAACAATGTGCGTGTGTGTGTGTTTTTAATTATGATTTACAAAGTTATTGATAGTTTGAGTCTAGTACCAATCCCATCGTGACTGTCAACTGCCCTCCAGCAGTGTCCTCGTGCTCCCTCTACCCCCACCCCCAGCTGCCGTCTTGATAGGCACATTTTAAAGTTGGGTGGTTGCAGCGGTTTAAATCTACTACATTTCCTTATCCAGTTCTTCTGTATACCAAAGATAAGTGAGATCATACTTTGTACTCTTTCTGGCGTACTTCACTCTACATGGTATCTTCCAGTTCCAGCCACATTGCAGCAAATTACATGGTTTCATTTTTTCCTTTCAGCTGCATAATATTCCATCATGTATATATATACAGCATCTTCATAATCCACTCATCTGTCTTTGGACACCTAGGTTTATTCCATATCTTAGCTATTGTACTAAGTGTTACAATGAATAATATTGTGCATTCATCCTTTTAAATGAATGTTATTTTTTGTCTTAGAGTGAGATGTCGGGCCAGTATTTATTTTATATGAAGCTAATAGCTTTTTTAGCTCTTTCACATTGAATAGTACATTTATATTGGATTCTCAAAAAAAAAAAATTGTTGATTGACTTGATACTGTCTTTCCACAGAGATCACAAATATAATCTTTTTAAAAAATTGGTTGCTTTACTGAATACAGAATGACACAATCCTTTTTAATCTGCGGCTATTTAATGAGCTAGTCACTGTCACTGTCCTCCCATTGTTCATTGATTTTGCTCAAGGGGGCCCAGTAACGTCTCCATTGGAGACTTTGTTGTTACTGTGCTTGGCATATCGAATACGTCACGGGTAGCTTGCCAGGCTCTGCGGTGCCGGTGAGATACTCCCGGTAGCTTGCCGGGCTCTCCGAGAGGGGCGGAGGAATCGAACTCGAGTCTGTCATGTTGGCTGCGTGCAAGGCAAACGCCCTGCCGCTGTGCTATCGCTCCAGCCCAATGAGCTAGTACTTGTGTAGAATGCATGGAAATGCATATATTGTTTTAAGGTTACATTTTAAAGCCTACAAGCTATATTTGCAGACAAGTAATGTGTATTCATGTAATGTTCTACATATACCTATGTTCTACAACATAGAACCATAGTTATTTTTAGGCTTATTTACAAAATCATTTTCAGGATTATAATACCGAGCATAATACATTTAAATAATTATGGTCCTTAAACCCTGAACTATCAGTCCCACCTAGCACACAGCCCTAACCACCACATTATTGGGGGAGGGGGCATCATAAATATAAATAATTTAAAAAGTGTTAGAGTGATGTTGTTTTCATAATCCAAAGAAAGCTCCTGAAAGTGAGTGGGTGGGAAGCAAAGGTTCTGACTTCACAATTAATATAACATGCATGAATTGTTTTCATTCTAGATTTCTTCAAACACTTCACAGTTGGGTGGTGCCGAGCCTGTAAAACGCTGTGGAAAGTCTGCGCTTTTTCAACTGGCAGAGGCAAGTCTAAGAATATATGGGTTGAAAAAGAAAATTTAATCCTGACAGTATTCTTAAACTGTGCCATTTCACCTGTGACCACAAATACTATATAAAAAATTTTTCAACATTGAAAGGGTAAACCCCTAATTTAGGAAAAAGGGATTTTGCTTCTAAGAAGTCATAACAAGCATTAGAAAAGGTTATTCAGGGAGATTGCAGAGGTCTTTTTCACAGTTAGTATTTAAAAATAAGGTCATTTTTCATCTTTCTCCAGTTGTTTAAATAAGTCCTGCCTAAGCCCGAGAGAATAGGTCTAGGCCAGTGTTTCTCAAGTTTTTTTCCTATGACTCTCTTCCAACCTTGTATTCCTCCCGTAGCTCCCCCATCCTACCAGTTGGTCTCCTAGTCTCATACTGTGACCCCCTATTTATGTGATTTTCACAAGTGACTTCCCTTAAAATGTCCTTGGCACCCATAGGGGACCATATGGACCCTGACTGAGAAATGCTAGTCTAGGTCATTTTTCTTAGTAACTGTCAGCACCCTCACTCACCCCCAAGAGGCTGTACTTTTAAACCAGGTAGGTGATATTTTAATCTGCCTGTGTGTGCATGTGGTAAAGAACTCAAAAGTAATATACATCCAAAGTTTGTACATTTCATAGAATTTGGATGTAAAGTTTGTTTCTTTGAGGAAGCAGAAAAAGTGTTTTCCTGTAGCCTGGGTCTGGGCCTGCACTTGGTGAGGCGGTGAGGGCAGGGGGTACCAACTGTTGCTCACTGGGTGGGAGCAGTGACTCTCTGCCAGCCTGTGACCACTCTGGGAATGTGGGAAAGAGCTGTCTTCAGTGCCAGTGTAAAATGTAAAAATGTCATTTACACTCTAGTAGACATGTCTTTTACACTTGAGTAGCAGTTTACACTTTTGGTGAGAGAAATTAGGAGATGCAAAATAAATGACCAGAATCTCTTATATGCAAGTTTTTCTTTCTCTGGCTTCCATCCAGTGGATTCCTTCTGAGTTTTTTGTTTGTTTTGTAATGCATTTAGTATGTTGTTGTATTTATAAATTCTTCGTAGTTTATCAAACCTTGGGACAACCTAATGTTTTCAGAATTTTATGGTAGCATCTATAATAGAAATTAAGAATTTTGAGTATTCGTAAGTTGAGCATTTAAAGTCTAGCCAGATCCAAGTTTAGAAATATGAAACCACAGAGGTCTATGACAGTGAAGAAGAATATAAACTGTGGCCTATGCTCATTCATTGTGGCCTGACATCATGTTGACATGCTGCTTCTGTAAGATAAATTCAGACCCAGATAGGCCAGGAAGAATGGGAAGAACTTAAGAATCTGCAGGGCATAGTTCTAAAAAGAACTGTTTAGTGTTAGGGACAAGGTACTACCAAGAAACAACTGAAATGACAAAAATATACTAATAAGCGGACCTTTTAGACAAAAGTTAAAGTCAAATTTATACTAAAAGAAGCTAAAAGGTCATGAGTCTGTCTAAGATCTTTAAGAATTATAGATCATTAAGGTAATTTATTTGAAAGAAGTGATTTTTTTCCTCAGTGAATATGAAATAGGATCTTCTGTTTTTCCAAGCATGAGAACATGCATATATGGTTTTTAAAATAATAAATTATACCTAGTTATAAACCTTGTTAATTTTTATGTTAATAAATACTAAACAGTTTTGTTTTAGAAATGCATGGACCTTTACAGTACTTTGCTTTGGGGGTGCTAAAGAGATTAATTTGTCTTCTCTCTTTCTTGGTGTAACAGTCATAAAAAAAGGATTCCCTATTAAATCAGAGCTCATTAGAAAGAACACTCTTCTAATTTGTAGGGATGCTTCCCAAATATGAAACAGATGCTATGGCTTAACAGATGTTTGAATGCTGGTATCATAATTTAAAGGGATATAAGAAGACTGCAATAAGCCTATTCCAATTATAGCAAAGCAGCTTATACTCAGACTTAGTTTCTTCTGACATGCAAGTAAAAATACATGCTTTTGATGAAACAGGATCACTGAAAAGGAATTTATCACGAAAATTTCCTCATTATTTGCACCACATGAATGTGATGCCGTGATGCTAGTCGACTGCTTTGGAATAACATCCTAAATCCTTCCTGTTTCTAATTAAATACAGCTATGTGTAAAATGACTTTGTAAGCATCTCTGCATAATAGCCTGTTGAATGTTTTCCCAATTTTTTAATCTATGCATGTAATGTTTATTTTCCTAATAGAAAATACAACATTTAGTTATTTCAGGTGGCTCTTTAGATAGATGTAGCACAATATTCAAGAGGGTTGTTTTCCTATTTCCCAGAATGGGTGGTAATGCCTGAAATCTGAAGGAACAGCTTTAAGTTTCACACATTACAAAAGAAAGGCTACCAAGACACCACCTGCAATTCTGGCCAGTACTTCTGTTTGGATTTATAAAGTGATAACTTAATCAGGTGGGGTTTGTGGCACAGTGGAAGAGCACTGAACTTGCAGGCATGAAACTTTGGGTCTCTGCAGTGCATAAAGAGAGGGAGAGACTGATTCAGTCACTGTCCTATCTACCATGCCAGGGAATTCTCTGCTTATCCTCATTCCAAACCCTAGTCCATAGTGGGCGTTATCCTAGGCCATCCAGTCATCTGGAATATGTTGGCTTTTCTCCCTGTTCCAAAGGGAATAGCTAGGAAGCACTCTGTGTTCTTCACCTCTGCCCCCTTCAATGTGAACACAGCTCGAAAGAGAACCTAGTACAGATTGGGGCTGTTTCCATGCAAGTCGTATTTTCTTTGGCAAAAAACAAGAAATATTTTAATCATGAATTTGCTGCTGTGCCCTTCACTTTATCTGACCAGGCAAAAGAGAACTGCAGAAAAGCAGCAACAGAGATTTGGAAAGTCCTCTTGCTCTCTGCTTTAGAATTGAAAAAGATACAAGAGTTTCCCAGGGGCCGAAAGGTAAAGAGAAAAGGTTCATCTTGATCAGGCAAGAGCTATGGGACTGTTGGCGGAGTAAGAATTGACTGAGCTCAGACCTAGGACATAGACTGTCACATTCGGAATTCTGCAGATGTGATACCTTTGCTCAGCACCCTCTGAGAAGTCTCTCCTGCAAGCAAGAGTGATAATCAGCTGGTTTTTACCTATACCAGTGTCTTAGAACAAAAATACCAAAATACCTCTTAATCTTGGTAAACTTTTAGACTGTGACTAAGCCCCTGAGTATCCTTGCTTCAATTCTGCTGGCATCCTTGGACTCCCCTAATCCTTCCAGCAACAGTAATGGGTTGGGGGATGAGGGTGGAGGGACTACAAGAGCATCCTGAGTCCCTGAAACTGTTTGCAGCCTGATCTATGAAATAATTTTAGCATTACCCTGTCCTTGGTATTTTGTGAGAAGATCATTCTATCTTAAGTAGAACTAATAGAACCAACAAATCTAAAAAGACATTAGGATGGGGAGTTAGTTTCCCTTCCTCTGTTTCTTCCTCTCTCTTTGAAACCAGAGACTTTACTCCTTGTGAAAGATGGGCAAGGAGCTAGCCTCCAAACTAACCGGCTCAGTCTTCCCCATTCCTATCGGCTTACATACAGGGGGGAATGCAGAGCCCCCACCAAAGACAGGTTGTTGCTTGTAAGTTTTCCCCTTGGTAGAAAGCAAGAACTATTCTAGTCGCGCATGTATTGCTACGCTGGGCAGCCACTTGAGCAGACAAAAAGATAATTGGAGGAAGCTGCCAGCAGGCACAAAGAAGTTTGGATCTAAGCCTGAGGTTGGGCATTGCAAGGACCACTCCCACTTCCCAGGAGCCTAGAGCCAGGAGATCCCCGGGGGAAGGACCTGCTTCAGGAATTTGTTTGACATTTTAAACCCACAGACTTTTCCGTAGCTGAAAGTGACCTGAAAATTCTGGGATCTGTTCCAGAGATTTTTAAGGAATCCATTTTGGCTTTGAATGGAGATTTGGCATAGTCTGCTGAGGTCAGGGGAACTGACAAAAATATAGTCCTTTGTTTGAACCTGCCATGAGGTTCACTCTTCAGTTAATCAGTTAATTGGTGCAGGTGATATATTGCGTTGTGTTCTCTTTCATTTTGAAATTAATTAGGTCGGTCATATAAAGATCAGCAAAGCAGCAAAGTATCCCAGAGAGAGCATTGGGTAATATAATCAGAGTACACTCTGAAGAGGATCATGGACATCTTTACCTGTACATTTTAGTGAAAAATAATGCTGTATTTAGAGATCTTGGCATCAAAACTGCCTTGAGTAAAAAATGAAATAGTGATTTTTTTGTTGTTATTCAAATAAGCAATAATATTTGTTAAGTATCTGCTTTGTGCCAATCACAGCAGAGATGTTGAAACTACCTGCATATAAGCACACGTTTTAATTACAATGTGATAACCTGGAGCCTCCTTCCTGTATCCAGTGGTATGGGAATGCCTCACCTCCAGTAAGCAGTTTTGGTATTGTGTTGTGTTTTGTTAGTTGGTCGATTGGTTTTTATTTTGTTTAGTTTGGGGACGCTACCAGTCCATAGTCAGGGCTTATTTCTCGCTCTGCACGCAGGGGTCACTCATGGTAGTGATTGGGGGATCATATAAGGTGCAGGGGATCAACTCCGCATGTGAGGCAAGGGTGCTACCTGCTGTTTTATCTATCCAGTCCCAGTTTTGGTATTTTGGAGTGCTCTTCAGGACTGAAGCATAAACCCCAAAGTACCACTACTTGTTTTTCTTTATATTAAAAAAAAAAAAAACATCTGTGAGGCTGGAGTGATAGCACAGAGGGTAGGGCATCTGCCTTGCATGCGGCTGGCTGGGTACAAGCAGCATTCCATATGGTCCTTTGAGCACCGCCAGGAGTAATTCCTGAATGCATGAGCCAGGAGTAACCCCTGTGCATCACCAGGTGTGACCCCCCCCCCAAAAAAAATCTGTGTTATTGAAAAATATGTTATATGTTTTGGTCCTGAGAGATAGTGCAGATTAAGGTGT